CAGAAATTAATCCTTCCAGTTATAAATATATAGCCATTCTTACAATCCATAAATAAACTTTGAAGATGGAGTTTCGTAGATTTTTCATGAACTGATATATATAGAATTATTAGAGGGTAAAATAATAATTTCTCAATAGGAAGGATTTTATAAACCTTAAATTCACCTAGGAAATTTTAAAGGAAATTGTATTTTAGCAAATAATCTGTAGGGCTAAACTTCATTTGAAATTATATAAGATATCAGAGAATTAAATATCGATATAATAACAAATGATTCTTTTGATATTTTAATATACACATCGATTTTTGAAAAATTACATAATCCTAATTTATAAGTAGCTTAAAAAGAAATTAAATTGGTTTTTAAGAATGAGCAAATTACATTTATATTGAAAATAGAATTTAAGGATATTCTTTTAAATGAGAATATGAAAATTTAAGATTTAAAAATTGTGTCAAAAATAAGCAAACAAGCCAAATAATTTAATAATGTAGAGAAATTATGTGTGATGTAATTTAAACTTATACCTTTTAAAATTAAATAACTTGAGCTTGAATTTACAGAAAATCATGGTAGATTCGAGAAGAAGAAGCACTGCAAAGATATTTCATTCGATGTAATGATTAATTTTTCGAGGACTATTCTTAAACAAAAAATCGAGGATATCCCTATTTTTAATTCTGTGATTTTAGATTCTATCTTAGAATTAAGTTTAGACAGTAAATTTGAAATAAAAAATGTTTTTTTTATAGGCGTTTATTATTTTCCAAGCAATCAGATTAAAGCATAAAAGTCTTTTATATGCCCAGAAAATTTAGAAGTAGGTTTCTAAAACGAATAATTCATACTAAAGGATTGGATTACCTTGGCATATATATATTCAATTTAATTTAAATATTAGAATGATTAAATGATATTTGAGAATATAGAATATCAATAAGATCCTCTTTATATATTATTAAATTAATTTTCTCAAAATCAATCTTACTAAATATTCCCTTTCATGAAATAGAATATTAACATTGAAAAAGTTGAAATTTTCGAAAAGTTTTCAAATTTTAAAATAAGAGTAAAATAGGAGAAAGTATAAAATAATGTATTAAATTTGAATATGAACTATAGAGAAAAATAAATTTTACTTTCTTGTATTATGTTTCAGAATTTTTAATTCTCAGAGATAATTTAAGATTTTTGCTTTCTTGATGGAATAATTAAAATTCATTGTGGAAATTTTTATTGATGATAAGTTAACAAAATAAATTTAATCTTAAATTTTTAAATATTGATGATTAAGTAGAAGGATTATATAAAGAATTTTAAGATTAAACAAGTGAGTAAGCAAATACTAATAAAACGATAGAAAATGTATTTTGGTTAGAGTTAGAAATTGAATTATTGGGTTAATTTTGGAAAAATTTAGAGTTGATCAACACGAAAATTCCTCATCTTATGTTTTATTTAGAAATAAATGGTAATAATAATCTGAATCTAAAATCAAATTAATTCCAAATAATTGATTAAAATTAAAATTATAAATTTTAAATATTTGGATTAATGGATTTAAAACATTAATTGAATAAATTATAGATGCATGCAGATATTGCTTTTAATTCAAATACTTTTATTGGAGATATCATATTCAATAATAATAATATAAGTGGTAAAATGAAAGCCTATTACACTGACAAACATCTACAAGAACTTAAAATTCATCTAATTGAATAAGAAATATACTTGTCAGGAATAGTAAACAAATCCTTGATAGTAAATACATCAATTTTCAAACTAAAAGAAGCTACTTTTGAATCATAAGTGTAATTGTGTTTTTTTTCTTATAAAATGTGTGGATTATGGCGATATAATAAATGCTTCTTTATTTGAGCCATTAACTCAATTAAATATCATTATATGAATTAGAATTAAAAAACTTACTACCTATACCTAAATCATTTATCATTGTTTTGGGAAAAATATTTAATAACATGTTAAATATTTTTACTTATTATTTTCATTCTCCATTTTTTAATAATGAAATAGAAAACCAATTAGCTTTAGCTGAAAATTAAGAATCTTAAGCAGAAGAATTCCTCAATAGTTTAATTTTTATTTAAACTTAAAAAGAAAGCTCTATATGTCGATGGGCAATAATAAACAATAAGAAATAATAGGGAATTATACTTTAAAGTTATTAATTTTTTAATATTCCATCTATAAATATTGAATTTATTTTGCTTTTCAATTAAAATGTCCCGACAATTTCTACTTACAAGGGAATGCTATTATAAAATTCTTTAACTTAGAAATTAATGCTGATGTTGAATTACATGATGCTCAATATTGGATACTTTTATGCTTTAATCTACCATTTAATCTGGTTTAGTTGAATAAGTTGAAATTTATCTTAGTTATGATTGCAAATCTTCAGAAAAATTATAATATGAACCTTCTCTGTGGATGATTCCATTAGCAAATGTCTCTATTTACTCCTTTACTATTTTTAAAAGCACAATAGTTGTTTAATTTAACCTAGAATTTCTGTGCTTAAATCAGACTCTAGAAATAATTCAAGAAATTTAATGTTATGATACTTAAATAATAGAATTAATTAATAATTTAATTGATAAGCTGTTGACTTATTTAAAGATTTTTGAATAATTAAATTTTGAAGATAAAATTGACAATTATTTTGAATTCATAACAAATAATAAGGAAAAAATAATGGAATACTTTTAGACTTAATTTCATAAAGATGTTTCAAATTAACTCAGGATTAAAAAAAATATGAATGAAATAATTTAAACTGAAAATTTTCCAACTTTAACATTTAATTATGTTGAATATTAGAAAAACAAAAGTTAATTATTGAATAGTTTAATTGAAACTTAATTTATAGATTAAACCCAAAACATAAATCTTGATAATTATATTACTTAAGATTCTTCTTAAAATATTGCTAACCCTTAGAGAGAACAGAATTTATTTGATTCAAATTAAATCACATAAAAAGCTGATGATGAAATTACTGAAATCAAATAAACTCATCCAAATAAAATCTCTTAAGGAAATCAAAAAAATTAAGAAGAAAAAGACACAAACTTTGAAGAAAACATATAATTAGATTTATACTAAAAAAATGACTTTAATATATTTAATGAATTGAATTAGATCCTTTAAGAATTTTTGAATTAATATAATGAATTGAATTAGATCCTTTAAACATTTTTGAAAATCCATAACGTCCTATCAGAAATAATTAGATGAAGATTCTATAAGCTAGAAAAATTATAGAGCTCTTTTCAAAAAAGCAGACCAAGATCTCAAGAATTTTTGGATGTTATACCCATAACATAAAGTAAATTGTATGAAAGGCAATATAATTGTTTTAGATATTGTACAAAAAGCAGAAAATATTATATCTTTTGGAGAAATTCTAATAGCTTTGACTTTTTTGAAATAGAAATTTGAGATCATTTTTTTAGGATCCTCTAAATCTATATTATCAAAAGATGAAAACAGATATATTAATGAAGATAAATTACAAAAGATATTACATGCTATGGGAGGGTATCAAAATAGTTCATTCCCTTTTTATAACAACACTGGCAGATAATAATACAATTATATCATTTTATTTGATTTTAAAAATAAAATCTTAGAGTTGTCACAAAAATGCAAATCTGAATTATATTAAGAATGAATATTATCCCAAGTTTATTTTTATTAAGATGGCAGTTTTGTTGATGTTTACATTAACTAAAATAAATGCTAAGATATTTACAATTTAATGAATAGAGTTTCATCTAATAACCAAAAAGAAATGTTAAACACTTTTAGCAATTCTAATGAATTTACAACAGATAAAGATGATAGAATATCAATTTCAGAGATCATTTATTAGATGTAAGCAAGTTTACAAAATATTCTCTATCTTC